TTAATTTGTGTGTGCGAGCCGATCAGTTAGGCGGTGGCCTGTTGCTGGCGGTGGGGGAGAGAGTGAGATCGACCCTCAGTGCACTTCGCGGCGCGCCAAAAGCTTAGAGGGTTGCCGTCTGACCGGATAACCTGGACACCGCAGTCAGTCCAGTGTGTTTTTTGTGTGGAGTGACTTACTGCGGGCTGAGAGTCAAGCTCAATGACTCCTTCCTAATGTGGTCTTTATGGCGCTCTCGGGCCGGAGCCTGTCCAGCGAGGTGTGCTGTTGGTACGCAGACTGAGTTTTGGTCAGGCCAGCCGCCTGCACCCTCCCCCATACCCGATCTTCTTGACTTTTGTGTTGACGCCATGTCCAGGTGCGGGTGTGGGGAGCGAGTGAGGTAGATTCTGTGCGAGTCTACTTTCACTATAATCCAGCGTAAGTCACCGCGTCTGCCTTCAGCTTGCTAGACCTCGCGGTAGATATCGTGGAAATCAACGGTCGAACTGTCGTTCATCGGTATGACTAACTAGAGAACAATGCCACGAAGTGAGGCTAATGTTCGCATCTCAGGTACGTGTATAAATTGAGAAGAAGCCGTGCCAATCACCGGAATCATCGTTTTATTAGTCTGAACTTTCAAACTCTTGCGGGAACCCATCGTCAGAGATAAAATCGTCAAGGAAAAACAAGCAGCATTTATAGGAGGCAGGGTCCAATCTCCCGTCATGGGACCACGGGAAAGGGGCCAATAACCCACCAGTGGCATGATTCTGGAGATGCCTGCGCAGGGCGGGCGCCAGCTCGATAAATCGATTGACTGAGTTCTCATCCGGGGCCTAGGCTTTAATCAGTTCTCGGCCTGTCTTGCTGCCGGCGTGGGTGATTATCATCGCAGCTGCGAATTTAAATTCATGACCCGTTTTATAGGTGTGGACAGCCACCTGCGATGATGTGTCCCCCGTCGTACAGCCAGCTTATGTTCGTGTATGCGCGAACCAAGCATGCGTCCCATCTTTCCAGTCCGTAAAAAAGTGCAACGACTTGCCCAATCCATCTTCGGTTCAAAGGCTCAATTCGGCCAAAGCAATTCGCCACTTGGGGAACGCACAGGCCACCGCGTCGTCTTACACCAACACCGGAGAACCAGACGGCTGAGCAATCAACACGCCCAACTCCGCCACGGGGGATATAAGTTCAGCAAGTCAGGGCCAGCATGCCGGTAATCAAACAATCAACACACAAGATGGCAGTTATCGTTAATTGTCGTTATTTGTCATACGTGCAAATTCCTGTATATGTGTTACCCGCTTCTGCTACTGCTTTCTCCTTTTGTCTCTGATGAAGAATCCGCGAATAAAAGTGTTGTGCCAGCAATCTAATCTTCTTCTCGATTAAAAATCTACCTCCTTCCCCAGCTCGACGATATGGGGCCTGACTTCTGAAACCTAATGACGAAAGCTTATGCAATCAAATGACGCACATTGTACATATTCGCTTAGCCTCTTTCGGAAACTGGTCTGATGGCATGCAGAATATTTTTTTACTGTATTTTATCGGTGCAAATGTTTACAAGTTTTGAGAATAGATCCGTGTTGTCAGGTATTCGGGTCCTTTACTATGCTGAAGGCTGTCCCAGACTGAATTTGCATTCGCCTTTACTACAAAGCTTTGGTCCTTTCGTTTGTGCCATTTGACGATCGATTAACCATTTCTTGTGAATTTCGGTCCCTTTGGGACATAGGCCACGTGCATTACATACACCTGAAATACGAACTGTCGCTTCAATTCGCATTTAGTCAGTAACCCAGGCTTAGATAAATGTTGACATGCAAATGGAAAGGAAATGTGTCAGGCAAGGAGCTAATGCATTCCATCCAGCCATCTCTCACGATATCGCATCATTTATTAATGTCTCATTCAGAGCAAAAGGTGCCTCCTCTGTGCAAATTTCAAGTCAAGAATGTCATCTTTGGCGTCCACGGAAATCATAATGGGCAAGCATTCTCTCTTCCCACGATATTCTTTTTTTACGGTGATGGTATCAGGAAAATGTTGTCGAATTTCCTGTCCTTTGTATTGTTCATTTAAAGTAAGAAGTAGGCACATCCACAATAACGTACCTAGAGCCGTACTTTATACTGCGCGTAATATGGAAGCAAATGTATCCCCAAAATTTCACAAAAGGATTCTTTTCAGATTTATTTCTACCTGCGCTACTTTATTCACTCATTATTTTGCATGAACAGACATCCTGTACATTTAAATTTTAAGTTTACATAGTAATCGCGATTTTTCACCTTTTCAGAACTTTCCATTTTTCTAAAAGAGCTTATGCTTCTAAGCAACGTTATATTACTTGATCAACTACAATGTTTCCTCTTTTTTATCAGGCCGTTTACTTTACTGCTCTATGACTTTGTGGGAAGCAGATGGGGTTTCTTTTGCATACCGGGAATTTATTGGTAAAAATCCTTGGATTTCATGAGACCGCATTATTGTCAGGGCCCAACTCCGTAGCGTGCGCACACAGCCCTGACGAGGCGTTCCCACACCATACCACACCAATCCCTTCACATAGGGTGCACGTTATGACGCGCAAGGTGCAACCAGACAAAAGACTCTACTACGCCAGTCGAATGAGTCAGAAAGCCGGCCGAACTGCTAGCCACTTGCGGCCACAATCTGATTGGTCAAATCTTGTACGCTTTGCTTGCCATAAGTACGCTGTACTAGGTTTGCTAAGTAACTTCGGTAAAAGAATCATATGTAGGCCCATTCATATACCCCTAGTCCCAGCATTTTGTTTCGCAGAAACGGTGGTTATAGAGTTTTGGGGGGTGGAGAAATAGGATAGGCAGAGAAGGAAATTTTTAAAAGCAAGTTTAGCGTGAAAAAATTTAGTCGAAGTTGCTTCCCGCGGCCGCTAGGAGTAAGTTGATCCGCATGTAAGAAGTTGTGCGCGGCGCTTCGCGCCGCGGGCTATACAAATCTAACTCCAGAACGGTAAGTTGGACCTCAGGTAAGTTGAAGT